AAATACAAATCTAAAACTCGCTACATATTTCATAGACTTGAGTTTATGAACCTTTCAACCATTTAACTCATGTGGTTTTACTGGTGCTCATATTTTTGGTTTAACCAGTAAATATACCCTTCTATATTGAAACTCCATTTATTTTCTTATGCTGAATTGTGTAGTTTGAATTTTCCCACTTCCACAATATCTAGTGTTCCTTCTTTTTTTATTCTCGTAAATAGTTTTCTCATGATGGAAACATGAAGCATATATGCCATTAATTTACTGAGTTATATCTTCATTTTTTTCCCTTCATACATCTTTTAAGAATTTTTAGGTATTTTTTTAATTTTATTCAATATATGGATAATTAAACTGTAGCTTTATACAACTACGATGTTATTATACCCAATCTAGACTACTCACGATTTGTTGACGAGACCAACATTAAACCATATAAACTTATGGTAGGTTGTTCCACTTGCTCTTTGGTGTCCTGTTACTATGTAGGATTTGGTAAGCCTAAATTTGTAAGGCCTTGTTTGATTAATAGGATTAATAGTAAAAGGATTAATAATCCCATGAATTAGTGTAAGATTAGTTATCCAATTAAATTAGTGAGATAACCATTTATTATGTATTCGTTTTTTTTTTTTTGTTTTCTTTCATACTTGAAATTATGGTCCCAACCCCTCTCAAAATTGAAAATTTGCCAATTTTGTTGGATTGAATATCTACCGTACATGTAATCTGGTTAATAAAATTTACAATCAAACATGGGATTGTGAGTCCATTGATTAACAATCCCAATCCTAATCCTATGCTATAATCCTACTAATCAAACATGCCCTAAGAGTATTTGCTATATGTAAATAATGAAGTGTATGATTAAGTAAGCCTTAGAAGATTTTCAAATAGTGAATCTATTAACAACTAAGGAATGTCAAGTTCAAAAGTCTGGTGTTTGAAATTTATCTTAATTATCTACAGGCTCATGAATTTTCAACTGAGCTTCGTGCTAGTACCAAAGCACCAAGAAATCCAACTGTATGGCTTGAAGGCTTCACAGGTTCCAGTCAAAGTGTGAACAATTCAGACACTTCTGCAGTTTTAGAGGCATACGCCAAAATTCTTACTATTTTTATCCCACTCCTTGTAGATGAGGTTGCGATCTTAATTTTCTACTCACTTTCTGGTACCCAAGTGATAGTTCTTTTTCTTTTTGTTTGTGTCTAAACTTTAAGTTCTTTCATTGCTCAAGCTACAGAGTTCTTTTTTCTCACATTTCATGTGCTTTGAAGTTCCCGCAATTGCACCATCAGGAGGTGTTGGCAATGGTAACAATGTTGGATCCACTGATGATGACGATCTCAGTATCATGGACATTGATGACAATGACAGCAAAATAGTTAATCCTTTTCTACATAGCTCTCATTGTTTTCATCGCTATTAAAGTTTGTTTATCCCTGGTTATCACATATTGTAGGTAAAAATTCTTCAGAGCTGGCAGAACTAAATGAATCACTTCAGGAATTTCTTGACGTAATACAAGTAGTGTTTATAGTATTATATATTATTACGCATTTACTTAATATCAGTTAATAGATTATCCAACTGGCTCTTGTTATGTAATTAGAAAAAACTGCCTTCTTAGGGAGGTTTTTATAAATTTTATGGAGATGTAATATTATGCATATTTGGTATAAATCAATTTGCATTTGGTTATGTCAACATTTCATGATGGAATTGCTTTTGAAGTTGCCTACAAAAAGTAACTTGTGAATAGTAGTTAAGAAGGTAATTTATGTGTAAATTGGGCTGAGCTAAGTGCAACTATTGAAATGGACTGAGCTAAGTGCAATCTCCTAGATATTAGGCCGAACTATGGGCCGAGGCAATGAAGCTTGGTCTTTTTTCCCGACAATTCGGTCAGAGGCAAGCTACCAATGGCCTGGTCTGACTGTCCTGGACTGAGGTATTGTTGGAAGGAGGACCGAGTTATATGATAGCTCTACAAGGTGTCGTCTAAACAGTAAAGACTTGCTATGTTGCCTAAAGTAGCACCGAGCTATGTGAGTATGGTTAAATCTGGCGTAGGGCATGACCATACTAGCTCGGTTGAGCTGTTACCAAACCAAGGTAAGGAGGTTTAAGCCATCTCACTTGGTTGGTAGTGAGTAGAGTGTTATCAGGATAGGCATTATCTTTGGGAGTGTGATTCCTAGAAGGACTCAGCTGAGGAGAGTTGGAGTCCTATTAGGATTGTGCCAGGCAGAATCTACAAAAGCGCATATAAGACCTATGTACAAGTATCACAATTCTTACTCTGGAATACACAGAACTTTTGTGTCTATTGTCTATTTGCTGACTTAAGTATCAGAGAGCTTTCTGGCACACACCTGCTGGCTAGCTCACGTTTGTGTTTTCAGGTGGCAAAGCGACGACGTTTGGAGGAGTGCAAACTTGATCAATAAGATTATACGAGAAGATTATTTCTATGCTCATACAATTGGCGCCGTCTATGGGAAGTACACGAAGAAGAAACCTTTTGATTAAAGTTTCTCCTTCCACTAAGTTCAATGGCACACAACGAAGATTTACCCCATTTTGCCATTGATGGGCAAACCCTGGAAGGGGGTGCAAGACGCGAAGGTCTACCCTTTTCCCACCCATGGTAGAATTGCATCCCCAGCAATGGAACTCACGGAGAGACATGCGAGATAGACGGGGCTCAAGTCCGCGTTGCTCTCAAAGCCCTGACAGACAGAGGCGAAGGATGGATCTCCAGGTTCTGGAGGATCGCGTGAGGGAGCAGGATGAATTAATAAGGAGGATGGCAGCAAACATGGAGACTATGAAGCGCCAGATAAAGAGCAAAGTGGCGGTGGAAGAAGAAGTGGGCAAGAGTAGGGCGCACTCTCGCCACTCAGAAGATCATGACATGCAAGTCACACCGTCTCAGATGGAAAACAGAAGCCTAAGGACAGGCAATACAAAATCACGAACCTCTAGGACTCTTTACTCCAGGTTGAGAGAACGAGGACTGAGAGGTCGTATATAGAGGGAAGCAGTTATCGGCCCTCGCACATGCACCAAACGACATCTAGACACACGAAGTTGCCTAGGTCGGCAGACTTGCGAACGATGCTAGAAGAGAGGGCCCAATGGAAGGAGAACACCCAAGCTCACGACCCTTACAGAGTTTCAGCTCTACAGCGATTGCTCGTAGAACACATGGGAGTGTCAAGGTAGGGATGCCAATACCACGCTTTACTTACGAACTAGCAGATAAAGTGTTAGCAAGGTTGCAGAGCTCACTGTTTGTTCTGGCAATTAAGAACACATTGCTACCATCAGGCTTCTACCAGCCCAAATTCACTACTTATGAGGGGAAGTCAGACCCCTACATGCACTTAAGCCACTTTCACCAGGTTATGGCCATGTATTGATGAAACGAGGCTCTAATGTGTATCTTGTTTCCTTCCAGCCTTGGTGACCTGGGTCTAACATGGTTTGAAAGGTTGCTAGAAAGTAGCATAGCTTCATGGGCGTAGTTGGGAGAGACATTTGTGACCAGATTCAGAACAAACACCAAGACACCAGTGGAGATTGATTAGCTACTCTCCATTCACATGGGCGAGAAGGAAATGTTGAAGTCTTACAACAGTCGATATTGGAAGACTTTCAATTAGATTGGGGATTGCCCCACAAACCTCGCCATCGCACAGTACAAACAGGGTTTATCGGCAGGTAACAAGTTGAGGGATTCAATGATGATGATGCCACCCCGCACAATGGAGGCCCTAATGGAGAAAGTACATCATCACATCCAGGTAGAAGAAGATAGCGCCTACGCTAAAGCAAAAACTGGCACAACAGCGATGCCGGATAGAAAGACTGCAGCAAAACTCAACACGGTTGAACAACCAAGCAAAAATGGGCGAGGCAGACGAGCCAACAGGGAGGACCCCCAAGCAAGGAAGTTAAGAGTCCACACTGCCACTACCACGGTATTCAATAAACCTATGTACCAGATTCTTAGCGAGATACGTGATGAACCCTTCGTTCGGCGGCTAGCCAAGTTGGGAGAAACGCAGAAGGGCTACGATGAGAGGTACCATTGCACCTTCCATGATGAAAAGGGGCATCGAACTGAAAACTGTACGCTATTAAGGCAATATCTAGAGAAGCTAGTGGCCACAGGCCACCTGGACCAATATATTGAATGGGTCTAGGACTCGTTACTCCAGGTCTGAGAGAACGAGGATTGAGAGGTCGTATACAGAGGGAAGCAGTTATCGGCCCTCACATATGCACCAAACGACATCTAGACACACGAAGTTACCTAGGTCGGCAGACCTGCGAACGATGCTAGAAGAGAGGGCCCAATGGAAGGAGAACACCCAAGCTCGCGACCCTTACAGAGTTTTAGCTCTACAGCGATTGCTCGTAGGACACATGGGAGTGTCAAGGTAGGGATGCCAATACCACGCTTTACTTACGAACTAGCAGATAAAGTGTTAGCAAGGTTGCAGAGCTCACCGTTCGTTCTGGCAATTAAGAACACACTGCTACCGTCAAGCTTCCACCAGCCCAAATTCACTACTTATGAGGAGAAGTCAGACCCCTACATGCACTAAAGCTACTTTCACCAGGTTATGGCCATGTATTGACGAAACGAGGCCCTAATGTGTATCTTGTTTCCTTCCAGCCTTGGTGACCTGGGTCTAACATGGTTTGAAAGGTTGCTAGAAAGTAGCATAGCTTCATGGGCGTAGTTGGGAGAGACATTTGTGACCAGATTCAGAACAAACACCAAGACGCCAGTGGAGATTGATTAGCTACTCTCCATTGACATGGGCGAGAAGGAAATGTTGAAGTCTTACAACAGTCGATATTGGAAGACTTTCAATTAGATTGGGGATTGCCCCACAAACCTCGCCATCGCATAGTACAAACGGGGTTTATCGGCAGGTAACAAGTCAAGGGATTTAATGATAATGATGCCACCCCTCACAATGGAGGCCCTAATGGAGAAAGTACATCATCACATCCAGGTAGAAGAAGATAGCACCTACGCTAAAGCAAAAACTGGCACAATAGCGATGCCGGATAGAAAGACTGCAGCAAAACTCAACACGGTTGAACAACCAAGCAAAAATGGGCGAGGCAGACGAGCCAACAGGGAGGACCCCCAAGCAAGGAAGTTAAGAGTCCACACTGCCACTACCACGGTATTCAATAAACCTATGTACCAGATTCTTAGCGAGATACGTGATGAACCCTTCGTTCGGCGGCTAGCCAAGTTGGGAGAAACGCAGAAGGGCTACGATGAGAGGTACCATTGCACCTTCCATGATGAAAAGGGGCATCGAACTGAAAACTGTACGCTATTAAGGCAATATCTAGAGAAGCTAGTGGCCGCAGGCCACCTGGACCAATATATTGAATGGGAAACACAGTCAGCCCCCCCGGACCGCAATAGGCCGGATGGGATGCCGGTCGACGGTCCGCCCCAAAGCGTAATCAATGTAATACATGGGATCGTCGAACCTGAACAGGTATCTGAACTCAGAGGGATGATAAAAAAGGATGAGCACATGAGAGAGGTACTAAGTGCACAACCTACCGTCAAAAGGGGAAAAACGGAGGCAACAAATGTCATCTCCTTTTCTGACAAGGACTGAGCAAGGTTATAATGCCCTCACAATGACGCATTGGTGGTTACTTTGCGTGTCAAGAACTTCGACATCAAGTGGATCCTAATTGACCAAGGGATCTCCTGCGAGATAATGTACTACGAGACCTTCAAGAAACTAAAATTGGAGGACAGAGACTTGGCACCCGCAATATCTCCCTTAGTCGGCTTCAACTCAATGCCAGAATGGTCGGTGGGCAAGATAATTCTACCAATCAAGGTAGGAATGATGACAAAACAGGTGGAATTTTGGGTATTGAAAGTCCCTTCCACCTACAACATAATCTTGGGAAGAGCATTGTTGCACGCCATGTGATCAGTGGCATCAATCTACCATCAGGTGTTACAGTTCCCCAACGAAACTGGAGTGATTAGAAGTCTTAGGAGACCAAATCATGTCAAAACAGTGCTTCGTCACAGTAAATGGCAGCCGGGTTGCAAAAGGGTTTGTACAAATGATAGAAGAGCCAGAAAGCAACGAGCTGTTCGTAGACGTCGGCAAAGCAGATGAGCAGAAGCCAGTAGAAGACTTGGTAGAGGTAAGAATAGATGAAAAGAACCCAGAAAAGTTCTTTTTGCTCGGCTTGTCTCTGTCCACCACTGAGAGAATAGAGATCATGGAATTTTTTACCTTTAACATCGAAGTGTTCTCCTGGACGCCAGATGACATGCCTGGCATTGACCCCAATTTCATTTGCGATCAACGCAATGTCCACCCAATTGCCAGACCAATTATACAACGAACTCGCCGATTGGCACTCCATCACGCAAAGATAATGGCAAAGGAAGTGGAAAACCTGCTAGAAGCAGGGGCAATCAAAGAAGTACACTATCCCAGGTGGATTTCCAACACTGTAGTGGTGCCAAAAAAGAAAGGCAAATGGCGCGTTTGCGTGGACTACAAAACAGTTAACAAAGCGTGCCCAAAAGATAGCTTTCCTCTACCACCAATAGACCAACTGGTGGACCTAACCACAGGGCATAACCGACTTAGCTTTCTTGATGTGTATCGCGGTTACCATCAAATCGCTATGTATGAACCAGATTAGGAGATCACATCGTTTACAACACCGAGAGGACTATATTGCTGCATGGTCATGCCCTTTGGCCTAAAAAATGCAGGGGCTACATTCCAACAGATGATCACCAAAATGTTTGAATCATTGTTAGGCAGAAAAATAGAAGCTTACATAGATGATTTGGTGGTCAAAAGCAGAGATGAGGGGGACTATCTCAGGGACTTAGATGAGATGTTTCAAATTTTGAATCCCACAAGTTGCGACTGAACGGATCTAAGTGCGCATTCGGCGTGGGGCCAGGTAAATTCCTGGGCTTTCTAGTGACTAATCGAGGTATAGAAGCTGACCCCTCTCAGATCAAAGCCATCCAAGATCTTGAGAAGCCAAACACAGTCAAGGAGGTATAGCATCTCACTAGCCTAGCAGCCGCACTAAACCAGTTCATAAGTCGGTCGTCAGACATGTGTCAACCGTTTTTCCAGGCACTGAAGGCCAAGTTTGAGTGGAATGATGAGTGCGACTGCACCATGGAAAGTTTGAAAGACTACATGACCTCTCTTCCTTTGTTAGTAACCTCAGTACCAGGAGAGGAGCTCTTTTTGTACTTAGCAGTTTCCCAGCATGCAGTTAGCGTAGTGTTGGTAAGGGCTGAAGGAATTCAACACCTGTCTATCTTTTATGTGAGCAAGACATTGCTGGGCGCATAAACAAGGTACCTCCCATTGGAAAAACTGGCCTTAGCTTTGATGATGGCTTCAAGAAAGCTGTCACACTACTTCCATGCCCACACTGTGGTTGTCTTAACAGCCTTCCTCTTAAAAGCCTTGTTTGAGAGGGCAGATTTTTCAGGACGAATTTTGAAGTGGGCAGTGGAGTTGGGGCAGTTCAACATAAAGTTCCAACCAAGAACCGCGATAAAGGCCCAAGCTTTGACGGACTTCGTGGTCGAGTTCGCACCAGGTAGTCACCAGGTTTACCCAATCAATTTGACCGAAGCAACTGAAAGAATGGGGGAAAGCACCGTAGGAATAGCATAACCCCCAAAATAGGACACCCAACTGCATAGCAAGCCATTCAGGACTGAAGAAAGAGAAGAAAGAACAGACCGCAGCACTGCCAGCGAGGACTCACCCAAAAGTAAAGTCTTTAGACAATCAGACTGTGAGGATTGAAGCCCAACAACAGACACTAACCTGGAAGAAGGCATTAGCAACACCCTTGATCCCAAGACATAATCCGATCCCTTCACTTGCTGGAAGCTATTTGTCGGAGAGATGTGGAAACTCTTCATGGATGGAGCATCCAATAGGCACAATGTAAGACTTGGCATAGTCCTCATCTTACCGGATGGCCTAACAATTGAACATGCAGTCAACCTTGGCTTCCTAGCATCCAACAACGAGCCGGAGTATGAGGCATTGCTAGCAGGATTGAAATCAGCACTTCGCATGAAGGCCACTGAGCTGATGGTGAACAGTGACTCCCAGCTGGTAGTCAATTAGATTTTAGGCAACTACAAGGCAAAGGATGATAGGATGGCTAAGTACCAAGACTTGGTCAGAAAGGAGATCATGAAGTTTGAAATAGTCCAGATAGAGCAAATTGGCTGGGAGAAAAATAGTAAAGCAGATGAGCTGACCAGTTTGGCGTCATTAGCAGATACATCTATTCCACACCCATTGCTGATTGACTTCCTACCCAGACCAAGTATTGAAGAACTCGAAGCAGCCGAAGCATGTTGTGCCGAGCTAGGCCTTTCTTGGATGGACCCCATCATAGTATTTTGAAAAGATGGCATCTTACCTGAAGGAAAAGAAGAAGCCAACAAAATTAGAGCAAAATCACAGCGATTTTGGCTCTCCCCGTCATTAGCATTGTACAAAAAATCCTTCACAGGACCTTACTTGAAGTGTGTCCATCCCAGTAACGTTGAGGCATTTTTGTTCGAAATACATGAAGGCGTCTGCGGAAGCCACCAAGGGGGAAAATCGCTAGCCTACAGAGCAATCTCATAGGGATATTGGTGGCCGCACATACAAGCAGATTCAAAGAAGTATGTCAAGAAGTGTGAGAAATGTCAGAAGTTTGCACACCAAATACATTAACCAGCCAGAGAGCTTCTACCATTGACCAGCCTGTGGCCCTTTGCAATGTGGGGCCTGGATATAGTAGGACCACTCCTAACTATATCCAGTAACAAAAAGTTCTTTCTTGCAACAACAGACTATTTCACAAAATGGGTGGAGGCAGAAGCACTCACATCCATAAAAGAAAAAGACGTCAAGAAGTTCATCTAGCAGAACATCATAACTCGGTTTGGCATGCCCAAGGCTCCAATATCCGACAATGGCACTCAATTTGATGGCAAAATCCTTATGGGCTTTTGCGAAGAATACAAAATAGAATTCTACAACTCTACACTGTCGTACCCCCTAGCTAATGGCCAGGCTAAAACTTCCAACAAAGTAGTCTTAGACAGTTTGAAGAAGAGGTTGGAAAGAGCAAAATGCAAGTGGGTTGAGGAACTTTCCTACGTTTTTATGGGCTTACCGTACCACACCTCGATGGTTAACTGGTGAAACACCTTTTTCTTTCGCCTATGGCATAGAGGTAGTAATCCCCCTGAAAGTGGGCCTCCCCACTATTAGAAGCTAAAATTTTGATCCGAACTTGAATGGTGAGGCCATAGCCCTAGAACTCGACCTCGCAGAAGAAAGAAAGGAAATGGCATTGGTACACATTGCCTCATATCAACAAGAGTTGTCCAGAAAATACAACAAAACAGTACACCCAAGACAATTCAAGATTGGAGATTAGGTACTACGCAAAGTAATGAGCAACACTTTAGTACCTGGAGTTGGCAAGTTTGGACCTAACAGAGAAGGACCATACAAAGTGATTGGTTAAGCAGGAAAAATGGCATATCAGTTAGAAGATATAGACAACAAGGTTGTTCTCAAGCCATGGAACACGGCTGTAGAGAAGTGGTTTGAAAATACTCTTATAATCCTGGGGGACACTAGCGATCCTCTGCTAGACACCTAAAAATGAATAAACACTCCGGTCGGGGGTGCCAGAATTAGCACTCCGACGAGCAAGTTAGTCTCTGCACTCAGGATTACTTGTATTCTAAGTTAAGCACAATAGTTCTCACATACCTCTTCCTGGCTGATGTTCTTCTATTTATATCTTTTCTTTCTTGGGCCTCGGGACGGGTCCACTTTCAATTCGCTATTCGGCTTTAATTGTAACAAACCGCTTTTCACTCGGCCCCTTGCTTGACCAACTATTTGGGCCGAATAGGATAGGATTCGAGCGTGTGAGATGGCACCGAGTGCTATATATTTCGACCTCGAGTTCAATTATTTGGCATCTCTATGACTCCTAATATTCGGCCCTCACAATTGCCCCCCAAGCATTCCACTAATGACAGTTGGCTGGAGTGTTTGGTTTCGAACTCGAAAAGTCAGAGCCAAAATTCGGCGGCTGACCTCATTCCAACGCAAATGTCTGAACACATGCTTCTCGGTTATCATTTCAACTTCCCACCCCTTCGTACACTTCTATTTGTTGTGATTTAAATTTGGACGTCTTTTCAAATACATACACTCTTTTAGACGCTCGTCGCTGGACTGCATTCCGAATTACCTCTGCAACTTCCTTTTTTTCACTATTCTCTTTGTCTCTTGTAAGTTCTCTCCCTCTCTGCCTTGAATCTTTTTTCTTGCTTTGTTTTTGGCTTAGCACATTCCTATAGACTAAAATAAATGGCAAAACATTTAAAAGATCTCCTTTCCTCGGATTGAATTTCTGGCTTCTGACGCCATTTCTCCATTCCTGATGACGTCCGTCTATCACTTGTGACAGACGGCACCCTCGATATGGTGAGGGCTGATGAAACCACGATTGTTTTCCCTCTCCTATCAATCGCAGAGGGTGGAGTCTGTTTCCCTCTTCACCCGTTCCTTAG